TTGCACTCAGCGGAATTAGAAATAACTTGGCTCTTTTAGGGATTTCATTGTGTGTTAAACAAAATAAAGCGAGTGGTCATGTTCCTTGGAAGTGACCATCCGCTGCTATTTAAGAATGGAGACCATTCCCTGGACACCGTGCTGGTCTTTATCGTGTCTCTCCACCTGACGCCTGTGTGTCTCGTCTTTATTTGCGTCCATCAGTGTGTGGCCCGCGGGCCGGCGGCCGGCTCCTGGGGACGCGGGGGGCTTATCAGCTCTGTGTGTGTGTGTTTACCTCTGAGTGAATCCCTATTAGCGGCCGCGGCACTGGACGTTAAGCGTTTTGTCCCAAATGGAGACGAGCGTCCAGCCCAGACGGACAGACGGAAACCTGACACCTGCAGCCTCATCCGTCTGGCTATTTTCCTCCAAATCAGGCTGCAATCTGAGCAGATTTGAACTCAAACTAAATAAAACTTTCGTTGTCAAAGTGGTTGCAAAAAAATACAAATCCTATTAGATGATCGTTTTTACGCAAAATGGTTTTTCCGGTTTTGCGCGTAAGAAGTCAGTCATCAGTTTCTGGGGCTGAGCTGGTGAGGAGGGTAGTCCAGGGCTGGAGGTTTTTCTGCTGTTTGCTCTGCCTTAGCCACCGTTTCGTGGGACAGCCTGTAATTATCCTACAATGCTTTTAGGAAACCTCTCTTCTGATACCAGGGGACCAATTACGCGCAGAGAAAAACAGCAATTGCTCCGTTCCCTGTCCAATTTTCACACAACTTTCAGGACAATCAATCTCTTGGAGAATTATTTTAGCAAACAGCTGGACAGGTGTTCGTCCCAAACAAGGAAGTGCGCATTTGGGTTGAGTTTAAAATCCAATTGACTAAAGCCTTCTCCTTAATTCTCATTTTAGCGCAACGGTTCATTAGGACTGCTGTCCAACTGGAGAGGATTTTCTCTGCTTTTCCCCTGGCCATTGTTGAAAGCCTCTTCCCAATGAAATATGTATGTGCGTTCAGGGCCTTTTGGGATGATCAGATCTCCAGAATTTTTCAAAGCTCGAGTAGTGACATTAAGGTTGGTGCTTCGAAATAAATCTTTTACAAAAATGCTCCTAATTCTTGGTAATAGCTCAGTTGTGTGAAGATCGGAAGTTTCTTATTTGAACAGCACACAATTATTCAAATTTAAGAGATGGACACAAGACAGTTTGCTTTTAATTTAAACATTTAGAATTATAAACATGAATAATATGACATTTAATCGCAGTTTGTTTTGTATTATCATTATTATTATTATTATTATTATTATTATTATTATTATTATTATTAT